CCCTGGTTTTTGTCTTGAAGACGACGTGTCGGTGCCAATGTCGTTTCGGCGAGAGAGAGAGAGAGAGAGAGAGAGAGAGAGAGAGAGAGAGAGAGAGTTCGCGACGCGACTTGAAGAATAAAAGCCCTCTTGTAACGACCTCTGAATGAACACTTTGAACGCTATAACATGGCGCGAAACAACCAACATCCATGTAGTCGCTCTTATCGGCAATCAATTTTAGAGTGGCAACGATTCGTTAAAATCCGTCGCGAAACCAGCCGAAATCAAACGGGCGAATCAAAGAGAAAATAAATAAACGGTCTGCTTCAGACCGTTGCTACACGCGATATCGCGGTTACAAAATTCGCAAAAGTTTTCGACGACTCACCAATCGATATCTTGGTGAGGAAATAACAAAGCGAGACCGTCGCTCTCCGTAATGTGTCTATTTAATCTGACGCGTGTGCGACGTTCTTTGGTACGGACTGATTCACGCGGCAAACCGAATGGCGCATTATACACGAGAGGCGAAACTGCGCAACCCTATCTGTCGGAGCCAACCGCGGAATATCACTGCGGCACACCAAAGATAATCCCACCAAGGCCCATTGATATGCTGATGGCGGGACTTGTCGCGTGAAATTGCCACCCGGTATGCATTGTTCGCTCGAATTCCGCCTCGGTCCTCTTCACGGCTCGCTTCCCTCGCCGGGCGCGGCTCAATCCTATCGGCGGCCGCGCAGGTTTCCTACTTTTAACCGCGACGGGATCTCGACGGGATCCATCGTCGAGAAAATTCATTTTCTCCCTCCGTGCCTTCCGTGCCACGCGGAGGAACGAAACTCGGCTCGGTACGCCTGCACCGCCGGCATCGCCGACGGTATTTTTGGGGGGAGGAGACGAAGAATCGCTTGCGTCGACCGGATTAACTTTTTCTCGCGGCGGATTTGAGAAACAGCAGACACTGCAACGGCGTGTTTGTTATCTTTATGCACGATCGCATCGTAGCCGTGCGTCGTGCCGCGTCATATTCCCGACTCTCGGTGCTCGCGGAAACTCACCGTGCGAGTAAACCGACCGATTGCATCGCGCGCGAGACACGATGCAGAAATTCGGCGATGCCGCGCGAATAAATAAGCGCAGGGGAGAGGCAGAGAGAGAGGGGGGGGGGGGGG